AAATATGTGAATTTTATCTTGCCGCAAAATCCACGTGATGTATCATTCAAAGATACAGTCCAGATTTTATCTGATATTTTTGATGAACAGTCCTCATTATTTAATACTCGCTATAAATGTTTCCAAATAACAAAATCTCCAGAGGACGATTATCTCACGTATGCCGGGAAGGTAAATCGACAATGCGAACGCTTCAAAATAAACGAAATCACAGCGGACCAGTTTAAATGCTTGATTTTCATATGTGGTCTAAAGAATGAAGAAGATGCAGATGTCCGTACCAGAATTTTGGCACGCATTGAACAAGAACCAAATATGACATTACAAATGGTTACAACCGAATGTCAGCGGTTACTTAATCTCAAGCATGACACTGCGATGGTGCAACAGAAGGTTAAACCTTCCGGTTCTGATTCAATTAATGCGCTCCGATCCATAAAATCATCGAAACAAAACTGTACAAGCAGGAAACAACCTGCCAACCCCCCATCACCATGCTGGTTCTGCGGAGCATGGCATTTTGCAAAATTCTGTCCGTTTAAGAATCATAAATACCGCAAATGCCATCGCATTGGCCACAAAGAAGGTCATTGTTCGTTAAATAAACGCAAGACTAAACATCGTAGTGAGAATTCAAAGCAACGATCAAACAGTCAAGTTAAAACCACGTTCGCAACCTTTAAAGTTGGATTTAAAAATAGGCGGAAATTTGTAAATTTATTAGTAAATGAAAAACTTATACGACTTCAGTTGGACACTGCTTCTGATGTCACGTTGATTTCAAAGAACACATGGCACAAGCTAGGATGCCCATCCATCCGACCGACGGAACATGTCGCCCGAAATGCATCAGGAGACATAGTAAAGTTGACAGGAGAGGTTCTATGCAATGTTCAACTTATGGGAAGTAAATTTACAGATGTTTGTTATCTAACAAATCGACACGATTTAGATCTATTGGGATTAGATTGGATTGCACATGTTGATACTTTGAATAAATTATTAGATGAGGTATGTTCTCAAAATGTTTCCTATGAGTCTATCCAAATCCCTAATGATATTTCTAAATCAAATGCCTCCGACGAATCATCCTCTCTGGATATTAACGAATTAAATGCTTCTGATGAAACATGTTCTTATGATCTTTCTGAATCAAACAATTCAAATGTTATGTGTTCTCACCATGTCAAATCTAATACCGCCGATTTATTGCCTTCTCATAAAATTTCCAAATCGAATACTTCAGACAAAGTATGCGCTAGTGAAACTTCGGAATCTCATGTACTTCTTTCTAATGTTATGTCTACATCAAAGTCTTCTGTTTCCTCTCAATTGTCGTCCGTATCTTACATAAATCATCTTCGACAAAAACATGCATGTGTATTTCAAAACAAACTGGGCTGTTATAAATTCACCAAAGTAGCCTTATCACTAAAGGAAAATGCAAAGCCCATTTTCAGACCGAAACGACCAGTGCCTTATGCTGCTCTGTCAGTCGTTGACCAAGAATTGGACAGGTTAGAAGCACTAGGTGTTATTGAGCCAGTAAATTATTCATCGTGGGCTGCACCCATAGTGGTCGTGAGAAAAGCAAATGGAACTGTTCGCATATGTGCTGATTTTTCCACTGGTCTAAATAATGCTCTAGAAGATCACACGTATCCACTTCCCATACAGGAAGATTTATTCATCAAACTAAATGGAGGAAAGTATTTTGCTAAAATTGACCTGGCTGACGCATATCTCCAGATAGAAGTTGATCCAGCCTCCCAACCATTACTGACGATTAACACTCACAGAGGTCTTTACCAATATAAGCGTTTACCTTTTGGTGTGAAACCAGCACCAGCTATCTTTAAACAAATAATGGACACTATGTTGGCTAATTTGCCAGGAGTCGCTGCCTATTTGGATGATGTAATCGTTACAGGTTCCAGTAAGTCCGAGTTATTCAATCGACTCGATACTGTTTTAACCAAAATATCTGAGTGTGGATTCTATCTAAAAGAAGAGAAGTGTACATTCTTCATGAACTCGGTGAAATATCTTGGTTTTGTTTTCGACAAAAATGGACGACGCCCGGATCCGGAAAATGTACGAGCTATCCAAAATATGCCTCCCCCATCTAATGTAGCAACTCTGCGTTCTTTCCTTGGTCTTATCAGTTATTACAGTAATTTCTTGCCACAATTGCATCGCCTCCGGGCACCCATGAACCAATTATTATCCAGTAATGTAAAATGGAATTGGTCCACTAAGTGTCAAAAATGTTTTGACGAAGTGAAGTCATTATTAACGTCGGATCTACTTCTTACATATTTTGATCCCTCGCTGGAAATCGTTGTTGCTGCAGATGCTTCTGACTATGGTATCGGTGCCGTCATATCCCATAAGTTTCCAGATGGAAAAGAAAAGGCTATCGCACATGCTTCCAGAACATTGACTTCAGCAGAACGCAAGTACAGCCAAATTGAGAAAAAAGGATTGGCATTAATTTTCGCAGTAAAAAAGTTTCACAAGATGCTGCATGGCAGAAAATTTACCTTAATCACTGATCATAAACCCCTATTATCAATTTTCGGATCTAAGAAAGGTTTACCAGTTTATACCGCAAACCGCCTCCAACGATGGGCTACAATGCTATTGGGTTATGATTTCGTTATTAAATACAAATCTACCTCTGATTTTGGCCATGCTGATGCATTATCTCGCTTAATAAGCAATCATAAGCTTGAAAACGAAGATACTGTTATCGCTTCTATAACAGTGGAAGAAGATGTAAGCAGAATGTTGTTTAATTCAACACAAATTCTTCCAGTGACAGCTGCTCGAATCGCTGAACACACTCGCCGCGATCCTATCTTAAGACGATTATCTACATTTATCCAGCGTGGTTGGCCCCCACGTATAACATCTCATGAACTGAAACAGTATTATCAACGACGCCAATCTTTATCCATCGTAAATGACTGTATTATGGTTGCTGATCGCGTAGTGGTTCCGTATAACTTACGCTCACTCGTCCTGAAACAACTGCATACAGCCCATCCAGGTACTGGAAGAATGAAAGCTATTGCTCGGAGTTATGTATATTGGCCTAATATCGATGAACACATCGAAGATTTCGTGCGTGCGTGCAGAAAATGTGCTGAGGTTTCAAAGTGTCCACGAAAAGCTGAACTACATTCCTGGCCATCTCCAGAAGAACCTTGGTCACGTATACATGTTGATTTTGCTGGCCCATTCCAGGGTGCGCACTTCCTCGTTTGTGTTGATGCTTATTCAAAATGGCCGGAGATTTTTCCTATAAATCAAATCACTTCGCAACAGACTATCATGAAGCTACGGCAGTTATTCTCCCGTTTTGGAGTTCCAGATGTTCTCGTGACAGATAACGGCACTCAGTTTATTTCTTCCATCTTCTCAGATTTCTGCAAGAGGTTTGGTGTCAAACATGTCCGTTCACCTCCGTACCATCCACAATCGAATGGTCAGGCCGAAAGGTTTGTAGATACCTTCAGAAGAGCGCTACTGAAGGCAAAAGGGGAGGGAAAGATAGAGGAGATTCTTGATGACTTTCTCTTGGTCTATAGAACAACTCCAAACCCATCAACACCAAATCAAATGTCCCCAGTAGAAATTATGTTTGGTAGAAAAGTAAGAAATGCCCTCGATGCCATGAAACCACAGCAAATAGACATCGGAAAAAGAAACAGAAAGATGGAAAACCAATTTGATCGCCATCATGGGGTAAAACGCAGAATTTTCCAAAGAAATCAAAAAGTATACGTCCGCGATTTCCGATATTCACCTCCACAATGGACCAGTGGACGCATACTTAAGAGACAAGGGAACGTAATGTATGTGGTGGAAGTTGAAGGACAGAAGTGGACACGCCATGTCAACCACATACTGGAAAATGCTGGCACTTCACAGAAAACCGAGAAATTAGACTCAATGTAGAGAATTATTCTGGACAGTTTTGACATAAAATGCTCAGCGACTCAGAAGACCACGCAACCTGAACAAGGTCCTGTTAGGAAAGCATCACGGAAACGCAGAAGACCAGATGTTCTACAGGTAGACCCAAAGAGGAGAACATACGTTTCCGAAGGAAGATATCAATGATGATATCTCAGCACTTACCTGTATATAGTAACTAACCATTTTTTTTCTTTTTTTTTAAGCGGGAAGGTGTTATGAACGGGGAATTAAGAAGCCCAGACAATTACGAAAGCTATTTTTTTGGGACGTTATTGCATTTCATTCAAAACCTGTAAAACACTTATATTTATTTTTGTCCCTATCTTATTCTACATAGCACGAGCTTTCGTTCTATGTACCATTCACTAGCATACCCTTTTTTGTTCCAAAAATATTGTAATTTAAACATAATATTTTGCACTGTATTTTCTACCCTAATTCCCTGTTTCGGGCATAACTGTATTTTTCCAAATTATCGTACGTCGTGGTCAAGATATTCACTTATTTATTCATGTACGTTTTTGTAGTAATCCGAATTCAGAGAATCCAGAGTTTAGTGTTCCAACTGTCTTGTCTTCTTTCACTCGCGTGCTTGCCAACCAATCAGGATTTAGAATAGTTCTCTCTACCCCCAATCGAACTCACGCGTATTAAACTCAAGGTTAAGCCACTCAGCCTAGCGCGTCAAGGTCAAGTCATAACAAGTATCACGGGGTAAAAGCCATCCAAGGTCATAACAGTATTCTTCTGTAATTGTAAATGTATTGCACACATACATGACCACACTTTATGAATAATGAATGATTGTGACAAATACATTTAAATTTGAAGGCATCAGAAAAGCGTACAGACAACATTAGAATGACTCTTTATTTTATTGCCCTCAAACGTATCATTGAGTTGTAGATGGATGATATGGTAAGTATGAATAGAAAAAGAGAATAATAACTATGAACAATATTGAAGAAGAAAAAATGATTAAATAAATGACTGTATTTATCAGATAATATCATGTGTCAAATGCATACGTCCCATTGTAATACAGCTGTATCTTTGCCCCCAGTTGATAATAATCTAGATCCATCATAGAAATATGTTACATTTGTCACATGACTTGAATGACCATTATAAGCACGAAATTCAGCCTGAAATAGAAAATGATAAAGATAATTGATGTAATGGTGAAGGTGATTAATATGAACTTGTTTATGGTTAATATCATTATTATTTTCTTTTAATTAAACCTCTGCATACACCTAATCTGTAACTGTATGATTTATTTAGTAGTTAAACAGGATCCTGAGAGAAAAATTGACCTATGAACCTATCGTTAGTCTCTGGTTACCATGGGACTGCATCTCCTAATGTTGTTTTACTGTCTTATGGATTAGACCTATAGGTCAAAGGTCCGTGGAGTGGTCTCCTAAGAAAACCACCTGCTTAGATTTGGGCACCTGGTCAGTGTCCCAACATATATATTCACTGCCTCCTTGTACGAATGTTTATGTGTTTAAATAGTATACAAAAGTTATACTATACATCGTTTCTAACCATAAAGATATATATGTGGACGACTCTAACCTGATAGACTACACCTATCAATATGATCTAATCCAACAATCAACGACTTAATAAACTAACTTTAATCCTGTTATTTAAGAACATTTTATTCATCAGAAGATTGAAATATCCTCAAATTCAATCCTATATAGAATCTTGATCCATATACCCTATTGTTAACAAGTTGAAAACAATTAAGATGACATAATTATATTAATATGTAATCAACCATCACCTTTTGAAGGAATTCACTACCAAAATACACTCAACGTAAAAACATAATACCATGAAAATTGAAAGGACCATTGATAATGTAAAAACGAAAAGGGGACATTATATTACAAACAGCAGATATTACATAAACACAATATGTGTCATCTGATTTTCATTCGTTTAAACTCATATATATATATATATATATATATATGTACGTATTATTTATAGGATGTTCATTAGAGTCGTATACAACTAGAAAAGTAGAACGAACATTCTGTCAAAATGTCAAATGGATACCATAAATATGTATTAACCGATATGACAGAAATCAAACTAGAGAACGAAGAATAAATGAATAGTAACTGCCAGGAATTATTTATAGATTATTAATAATACATATATTCTTATAGGGTAATTATCAAGCAACTAGATTATATACATGTTCGTATTCTTTTTATCATAAACTTTCATTTGACTTAATAGCTAGTGTCATACGACTTATCAATCTTAACTTATTCTTAATCCATTCGTTATAATCTCTCACACTCACAGGAACTTTTGGCTTGATTTTGTATAATAATAATAATTTATTATTTCATTTTGTGATGGGGTCTGGTCTGTTTGTATATAAACCATATATATCTGAAATATACGACTCATATAGCGGAGGCTGATATCTGTATTCTGAACTTAACCGGACGGGTTAGGCGGGAAGTTACCACGCAAAGGATCGATAAAAACTCAGAGTTGACTCAAGGCTGTTAGTGCTTGTTGATATATCGTTGGTTTAGCACAAACACAAGGTCGTAGAAGTCGCATTCTCATTGGAGATTTCGTAACACAATATTTAACGGGATATAGGACATAACAAATAGAATATCGGTTGATGTCAATAATTATGTGGTTTCTTGTGTCATGTTTGCGAAACTGAGAAGACGGAAAGTGAATGTCCAGAACTTAAACAGGGTTCTTGGGTATTCAGTATCTACCTAGGTGAATTAAACGAAGAAACTCTGATTACAAACTAATACTAATGGTGCATATGCGCTTCCGTTGTTTGGTACCGTTTCAACTGGCAGAAGATTGAAACGACCAGAAAACTTTGAATCAGAATCAAAACAATACTACTGAACACATTATGGTAGTTTTCAGATTTATTGACTAAAAAGTAAGTCATGATTAGCCACTGAGAAAAGATGGACATTTGTGTTTACATGAAATACAAAAGACTGTCGTTTGTCTGTAAGACTGGTTACTTTTTTTTCATTTTCATTCCATTTATTGGCCGTTTTATAATGTATTATTAAATTGTCCTTCTAGATTCTGTCTGGTTCTTGATTGTTTATCGGATAGCTAACTCAACTGCATCATGCACCTATATAATATGAAGTAAAATGATCCATTGATTCAGTATCTAATCTAGTGAACTAGTATTTAAATTAAATGATTTATCTAGAATCGTATTAAATGTGAAATTGTGAACTGTGAATCTTGTCCCTTATTGTTAGAACATTTCCTTTCAATCATATATAAGTTAATGGTAATTGTTGGGGTGATCCAGAAAACGTCTCACAAAAGACAAGAAAGTTTCAAAAAACAACTAAGAAGCATTTTATCCAATCAGAGTTCACTAGAAGTTGGGAGGGAAACATCAAGAAAGTGAAAAGTGACATGTAGAGTCTCTGATTGGCTGAATAATACACTGCTACCATCTTAAGTAGCATTCCAGAATTTTCGGGAAGCCTAATCATATCTAAAATACTATAAAAATCTGTATTTTCTGTACTAAAAACGAACTCTTGGAGTAAAGTGCTTTTCGTATATTTTGTGCCTTTTCTCTCGTGTACAGGTCGCTGTTTAGTTCTAGCTTGGGGGTTACGAGAATAGATTAGGCACCAAATATAGCGTTCAATTAGCAAGACTTATCAGTAATGTAATATGTATAGTTCATTTTAAATTGACTTAATTCAGGTTATAAATATTAAAGATGATATCTTTTTTGACAGACTAATATTAACTAAATAAATATCATCAACAGTTAGAGTAAACTTAATAGTTGCTTTGTTCAAAGTTATACTTTCACAACATCAGGATACACAATTCATATCACATATGATCAACTTTAAGTGTTCATTATCAGTTCTTTTTGAATAAGAACACTTTTTTTTTAATATTTACAAGTCACAAGGCTCATTTATTTCTAAAATATTTCTGGAACCCAATTATATTAGATTTTTCAGTAGACAAGACAATATCAGGAGTTCATTGAATGTTATCCATTTCAAATTCATCTAACTATCCTTTTTTACAACGTGTACTCTCTTTGTTTATTTTGACCTATGAACTATTATTATAAAACTTACCATTCTTGAATTATGCCCTGTCTATTAGTCACTGCCTCCCATATTCACAGCCAGATTTGGCCAAATTTTGTAGAAATGCTATTTTCTATTTTATGGTACGTTGTGGTCTGTTTGATCGGTATAATAACCCAGTATGTTTGGAATACATGGTTCACATTACAGAAGTTGAAATTGGTGTTCTTGACTGAACTGGCTGGGCTAGGCGGAAGGCAGGGCCAATCAGAACTCTAGGCTGTTCGCACGTGTTTTACGCGTCCTTAGTCCGATCGATAATTCACTGCTGTCTGATTGGCGGTATTATTACGTTATCCATTAACAGGGCATTCAGGCCACAAGTTATGACAAATATACAATTAATATTTAAAATAAAAATCTTACCTTTGGTTTATTAGTTGGATATTTGCATAGTTTAACTTTTCCATAATCATCTCCAGTAGCTAAAATATCAGCAGTTGGACTATGATCACAACCATTAACACCAGTACCATCTGAATCAGATGGCCAAATTCCAGCTACTTCACAACCAAGTGTACATGTTTGACTAGCCCATTCTAAATCACGTAGTGTACAAGGTGGGACAACCTTGAAAATTAGAGATAGGAAAATATATCCACAATTATTACATTAAATGATGAAATTTGTGACATCAACACCTTATAAATCATTCAATAATATGAAAGAAAGACATAATAAAAAACCAGACAAATTGGAAAGTGTAATATTAACAAAAACTGGTCTGGAAGCACTGGTCAGTCATTTCGTCTTACTATGGGACTCCTCAGTAGTGTGCATCCACGATTCCATCTCGCGAGATTCGGACCCAGGAACTATCAGCCTCGCGGATGAGCGCTTAACCACTAGACCACTGGGCCGGCATCCAATAGTGTTAATGTCTAACTTCAACACATCCACCACGACACTGATAGGTCATGGGTTTGAATCTCGCGAGGCGAGATCGAGATTGCGCACTGCTGAGGAGCCCCGAAATAGGATGAAACGCCGTCCAATGCATCAGGGTTTTCCATGGTGGTCTAGCTTTAATTAACTCATGATCTCAACTAATAAAATTACTATAATATCCACAAGACCCCTCCTGATACTAAAAACAGATCTCTTGATCTATGAAATAAATCTATTTACATTATCTCGATATATTAAGAGAAATATATATATGTACATGAGTGGGAAGAAAGTTACGGGGCAGTCATATCAAGACGAAATATAATTTTATGGAGTCATTACTATTAGTCAAAGTTGTCTTGGTAAATATTTATATTTGTTCTATCGAAATTCATGGACATTAGTCAAGGTGGCAACAAATATATATGCGCTAAACAAATCATTCGATTTGTGTGAGGGCTGGAATACTCTACGGGTACCCGAACCAAAGGTGATTTTCTTAGGAGACTAATTCACGGACCTTTCACCGAGAGGTCTAATCCACAAGACAGTGGAACGTTAGGAGATCCACACTCACGGTAGCCGGTGACCAACAATAGGTTCCCTCAAGACCCTGTAGCCCATGTTAACTATTGGTTTGAAATCAGTGTTTTTCGACTCCTCCAGGTGGACCCCCCAACCCGGTTAATGCGCCGGGCATTCGCTTTTCGTCCTCCGAATTTCGTCAACAACAAAAATGCTTTGAGAATGCAGTGGGTAGAACTTCTCTGGTAGTGGCTGTATACAGGTGGACGAAGTAGTCTAGTTGGAAAGATCAATTTATTATTTAATGCAAAATTAAAGAGTATTTTCTTAAAACAATGATAACCATACATTAAATACTTAATCTGAATATGTTCCTTCAGTTGTCCTTTACATGCTTTATGATTCATTCAATTCTGCTGTTATTATGATTTATTTCTTTTTCCATGTCTGTTCTCTTCAGTTGTGGATTCTCAACCTTCTGCTGATAGGCAACCCACTTCTCACACTATGATGTATGTTATTTATATCTGTCGACACAAGTAGTATGCAATATCAGGTGGAAAACCTGGAAACAGAAAGCTAAGATGATCGAGTTGAAGTGAATATAAGGGAAAATAAAAATGAACTGTGAACTTGAAAAATCATACAGAATGTGAAGGACAAACAATAGAAATTCGCAGATGAAGTATTCAGTGTATGGTTCATATATTTCACCAAGATCCTCTGTAATTTTGTGTTGAAATACAATTGGTTGTCCCCACTTCAGTGCTCATTCATTACAATACTTCTTATATCTGTTAATATAAGCAGCATACACTACATACTTATGGTTAGCTAGACTTGGAACAATCGAATTAATCATTCATTTTATACAATAATTTGACCATATAAAGTTAGTCTCATTATTCTTAGATCAGGTGAATGATGATATAAAGCCTTTACTTATACTCATTCATTAGTGTAATATACTTTGTTAAGAACACTTTTGCGTCAGTAACCAAAAAATGTACAAAATCGCTAACTGAATCGTTCTTTTCTTACAAACTTAAACTGTTTTTTTAGGAGCTACAGCTTGTTGACTCATTTTCAGTTAATCAGAGTTAAAGGGTAAGAGGGGAAGAATCTAGAACTTTCTAGGGTGTAAATTATAAATGAACTGATACTTTTCTGACTTTCGTTTCAACTTTAACTTATTTAACTTGCGTATTAACAAAGTTTGACTAAAACAATAAACACTGAGAAATAAATCCATTATTACAAAAGACTTGAATTGGTTTTTGTATTGGTGGCTCGAATATTCCCATTGATGTGTAGAACTGCAATTGATCAGTCTCTTATTGACATATGTGTATCTTTGCGGAATGCCTCGATATATTGCCTTAAGTCACAAGAATTATATGCAGAAGTGATGAAAAAATCAGCAGTGACTTTTTATACTACTTAAAACGTTTTAATCAAGGAGTGGATTTTCATTGCAATAAATGTAACAAAACGTCCAGGTACAAATATACCTTGAAACGACACTTGGAAGTTATCGATAGTGACGAACGTTTTCCCTGTAATCACTGTATAATAAACGCTCTAGATCAACATCCAAACCAGGAACTAACAAGTTCCGTAAAATGATTTTTTTTAACCTTTCAGAGGGTTAGAGAGGACAGATAATTCAGATCAATAGAAATATTTATTTTAGCCGAAGACTTCAATAGATTAGTTTTATAAAATTTATTAGCCATTTGTAATGTACTGGCTGAAAATTCATCCATTATCGAATACGATGACGTGAAAACTAAAGACAGATTGAATGATATACTTGACTGAATTAAAAAGGAATGTAACATACTACTACTAAACAGATACACTTACTTGTCTACAATCAAATGCAGTCCAGAACAGTATTTCATAATCTCCTGATACAGAACGTAAAAATCGCCCATCTACAGACCAATCAATATGCAGGATAAAATTACTATAACCGCAGCATCGTCCAACACGATTATATTTGTAGCCACGTTCTAACACATTATATACATAAATAACATTATCTCGTGAACCAAGAGCTAAGTAATTTCCATCTAGAGAGAAAGAAAGAAATAGGGATGAAAATACTTATCGAAAAGGCACAACATACGATGGAAATCGAAGAAAACGAAACTCTGTGAGTAAAATGAACTTTTAAAAATGGATAAAAAAAATTAAGCATCGAAAATGAAACAAAGATTATTTTATTGAGATCACAATCCAATTTAAATCACTGGCGAGACTCTAATTTATGGACAAGGCAATCAGAAGCGTTTGAGCAACTTCAAGGTCACGGAGCCAAGTTCAACACATGATGCTCACATGCGATCGGTTTACAGCGGATTTTGGAGAAGAGGTGATTATTGAGAGGCTACAAGAGATGAGACTACTAAGAAATTCTTATACGTGTGATTGCTGTTATCAAATGACTGCGGTAAAGTGTGCAGACTACCGTGATCAGATTGTATTCCGCTGTTCTTCATGTTGGAGGAAAAATTCTGTTCGAACGGGGACTTTCTTCGGTCGATCGCGACTGAAACTGAGGCAGATCATGATAATAGTTGCACATTGGATAATAAAGACACCAGTAACACTGGCTGCGGCGTTTTCAGATGTTACTGAAAATTCAGCAGTCCAGTGGTATGAGTATTGCCATGACATATGTGCAATTACAATGACACGTCTACACCAATCATTCGGAGGAGTAGAATGTATTGTGGAGATAGATGAAACAGTAGTGAGAAAGTGAAAATACAACAGGAGACGTAGTATCAAGGAAGATCGGGTAAGTAGCACTTCCGTAAATATACTTGACATGTACTTGGAATTTATGATCGATCAACGCAGAAGGGGCATTTTCGGAGGGTCAGAAACCGGCAAGCAAGCACAATAATACCAATTATACAGAAATACGTGCAGTCGGGTGGCTGGAGAGCTTATAGATGCCTACATAGACTTGGTTATGTGCATCATGTCGTAGTGCACAAGCGCCATTTCGTCGACCCTACAGCCGGCGTTCATACTAATAATATTGAAGCCATGTACGTAATGTCAACAGCATATGTGCAGTTTAAAAAAATCTCCATAGAATATTCTATGTTGTCGAATAACAAGTTTTGATAAGTATGTAGTGACTCACGTTTATCACGAGAACACGACTGGTTTAATAAAAACAATTATCATTATAACCAACTGTACCAGTGTTTGTTTTAATGTGCTTTTGTTTGACTGTGCTAATGACAGCTATTTTGTGCTTCCATTCTTTCGCTTACACTTTGATTGTAACTTCGCGCGAATTCGGTTACGTTCTGTAACCAAGCTTGTATCCTGGCACGATCTCGGTATCCTTTCGATGCCACGAGATCGCCAGCAAATAAACATCGACTTGGTCCATTAATTGCCTTCTGGTATTCGGCTTCTCGGGGATTTTATGGAGTCATTTGGAACGAGCTTCTTACGCCTTCTGATTCGCTTGGCACGTGTTTCTTAGTAGCGGTGTTCATAGTTAACCTCAACTCGACGCCACGCTACAATTGGTAATCCCGATTCGAATACAATTGGTGATCCCAAAGTTTAGAACACGCCTCAACTTCTGATAAAATCTTCCAAAGAAGCCAATTCGGTGAGTCTATGATTTAGCTATCCACGTCTGTCGTATATTTTCATATTTTTTAATATATAATATACGCGACATGACGGATAACGATAAGAATAGTATTAATATAATAGACTCACACGTATGTGTACCGAATCCTTGTCACTTTTTATTCGCGTGATGATGAATTCCACGCTTTATTCGAGAAATGTTACCCTATTAACTATTCTCCTCGCTGACCCGGCTGCTTGGTACGGAATGTACACGCATAAGCATATCCGTCTACCACCCAGCACCAAATGGTTAAGTTGAACGGTTTCACTGCCAACTTAAAAGTGTTCTACGAGCACACGAAAACGGCAACTGGCATGAAACCATACCGCTCGTTCTTTTAGGGGCGAGAACGAGCTTAAAGGCAGATATCCAATGTTCCGCCACTGAATTTGTATACGGCACGACATTGCGTCTGCCCGGAGAATTCTTCACACCACGGAGCAGACCTAATTTCGGTAAATCAGACTACGTCCATCGACTGTCTGCATTTATGCGAACGCTGTCTCCGGTGTCAACTCGAATACAACATCGACAGGTCGCTCTCCCTCGAGAGTTATCTACCTGTTGACATGTTTTTGTACAAGTAGATTCGGTACGCAAACCTTGGCAACAACCTTACGAAGGCCCTTTTCACGTGATCGCTCGTCACGAAAAGACCTTCAAGGTTGATCGATATGGACGCGTCGAGATCGTCAGCATTGATCGTCTCAAACCAGCACACATCGATGACAGTGCCCTATCTGACACCCTGAGATTCAATGCTAGACCTATCAAACCTAGCGGGATCCTTAAATCTTCTTCAGGTCCCACGCTAGATGTATCTGAGACCTCATTCTCACGTCCCGGTCAACAGCACGCGTCATCTGCACCGTCTACGGACGAGACGACAGTCTCACGTCCAGATCAGCAGACCACGCTGCCTCTGACCTCGGATGAGGTTGCAGGCTCACGAAATACGAACGAGACTGCCGTCTCACGTTCCGGTCGCCGAGTACGGTTACCCGTACGCCTCCGCGACTAGTCGCACAGTCAACAACCGATACGGTGTAGGATTATTCCTATACTACACGTATGCTACACTCTTCTTTTTTTGATTTTCTTTTTGTTTCCTGAGCCCACGCCTTCGACCATCTACGTTTGGTTCCGTCGACTTCAGTCAGCTTTGGCGAAAGCTGGCCTGATCACCCACGCTCTTGTCAACGTACTCAGTCGATATATTGGTTTCGAATGCTTGGCATATGCTTGGTCTCGAACTTGGTCGTTATGGTCGCTTCTGGTTCATCGGCTCAACGTGGTTTCGTCCTTCGTCTGCAGCGTTTATGGTCCGGACCCGTACGAACGCCCTCTTCAGATTCTGGATACAAACCACTCTGGTGTAGCATGCCGACTCGAGCAATAAATACAGCACATCGCTCCTGGTACTGTTCTCCGAAAACGACTTTCGTTGGCAACTCGACGATCAACGATCGCTTTTATGTTCGCCAATTCTTCCGTCCTACAATCGCTCGTCAGCCGATCAGTCCCACGATTCAAACCGCTATTTATCGAAAGTGTAAACCCTTTCTAGCGGGGGGCTCCTGTAGTGACTCACGTTTATCACGAGAACACGACTGGTTTAATAAAAACAATTATCATTATAACCAACTGTACCAGTGTTTGTTTTAATGTGCTTTTGTTTGACTGTGCTAATGACAGCTATTTTGTGCTTCCATTCTTTCGCTTACACTTTGATTGTAACTTCGCGCGAATTCGGTTACGTTCTGTAACCAAGCTTGTATCCTGGCACGATCTCGGTATCCTTTCGATGCCACGAGATCGCCAGCAAATAAACATCGACTTGGTCCATTAATTGCCTTCTGGTATTCGGCTTCTCGGGGATTTTATGGAGTCATTTGGAACGAGCTTCTTACGCCTTCTGATTCGCTTGGCACGTGTTTCTTAGTAGCGGTGTTCATAGTTAACCTCAACTCGACGCCACGCTACAATTGGTAATCCCGATTCGAATACAATTGGTGATCCCAAAGTTTAGAACACGCCTCAACTTCTGATAAAATCTTCCAAAGAAGCCAATTCGGTGAGTCTATGATTTAGCTATCCACGTCTGTCGTATATTTTCATATTTTTTAATATATAATATACGCGACATGACGGATAACGATAAGAATAGTATTAATATAATAGACTCACACGTATGTGTACCGAATCCTTGTCACTTTTTATTCGCGTGATGATGAATTCCACGCTTTATTCGAGAAATGTTACCCTATTAACTATTCTCCTCGCTGACCCGGCTGCTTGGTACGGAATGTACACGCATAAGCATATCCGTCTACCACCCAGCACCAAATGGTTAAGTTGAACGGTTTCACTGCCAACTTAAAAGTGTTCTACGAGCACACGAAAACGGCAACTGGCATGAAACCATACCGCTCGTTCTTTTAGGGGCGAGAACGAGCTTAAAGGCAGATATCCAATGTTCCGCCACTGAATTTGTATACGGCACGACATTGCGTCTGCCCGGAGAATTCTTCACACCACGGAGCAGACCTAATTTCGGTAAATCAGACTACGTCCATCGACTGTCTGCATTTATGCGAACGCTGTCTCCGGTGTCAACTCGAATACAACATCGACAGGTCGCTCTCCCTCGAGAGTTATCTACCTGTTGACATGTTTTTGTACAAGTAGATTCGGTACGCAAACCTTGGCAACAACCTTACGAAGGCCCTTTTCACGTGATCGCTCGTCACGAAAAGACCTTCAAGGTTGATCGATATGGACGCGTCGAGATCGTCAGCATTGATCGTCTCAAACCAGCACACATCGATGACAGTGCCCTATCTGACACCCTGAGATTCAATGCTAGACCTATCAAACCTAGCGGGATCCTTAAATCTTCTTCAGGTCCCACGCTAGATGTATCTGAGACCTCATTCTCACGTCCCGGTCAACAGCACGCGTCATCTGCACCGTCTACGGACGAGACGACAGTCTCACGTCCAGATCAGCAGACCACGCTGCCTCTGACCTCGGATGAGGTTGCAGGCTCACGAAATACGAACGAGACTGCCGTCTCACGTTCCGGTCGCCGAGTACGGTTACCCGTACGCCTCCGCGACTAGTCGCACAGTCAACAACCGATACGGTGTAGGATTATTCCTATACTACACGTATGCTACACTCTTCTTTTTTTGATTTTCTTTTTGTTTCCTGAGCCCACGCCTTCGACCATCTACGTTTGGTTCCGTCGACTTCAGTCAGCTTTGGCGAAAGCTGGCCTGATCACCCACGCTCTTGTCAACGTACTCAGTCGATATATTGGTTTCGAATGCTTGGCATATGCTTGGTCTCGAACTTGGTCGTTATGGTCGCTTCTGGTTCATCGGCTCAACGTGGTTTCGTCCTTCGTCTGCAGCGTTTATGGTCCGGACCCGTACGAACGCCCTCTTCAGATTCTGGATACAAACCACTCTGGTGTAGCATGCCGACTCGAGCAATAAATACAGCACATCGCTCCTGGTACTGTTCTCCGAAAACGACTTTCGTTGGCAACTCGACGATCAACGATCGCTTTTATGTTCGCCAATTCTTCCGTCCTACAATCGCTCGTCAGCCGATCAGTCCCACGATTCAAACCGCTATTTATCGAAAGTGTAAACCCTTTCTAGCGGGGGGCTCCTGTAGTGACTCACGTTTATCACGAGAACACGACTGGTTTAATAAAAACAATTATCATTATAACCAACTGTACCAGTGTTTGTTTTAATGTGCTTTTGTTTGACTGTGCTAATGACAGCTATTTTGTGCTTCCATTCTTTCGCTTACACTTTGATTGTAACTTCGCGCGAATTCGGTTACGTTCTGTAACCAAGCTTGTATCCTGGCACGATCTCGGTATCCTTTCGATGCCACGAGATCGCCAGCAAATAAACATCGACTTGGTCCATTAATTGCCTTCTGGTATTCGGCTTCTCGGGGATTTTATGGAGTCATTTGGAACGAGCTTCTTACGCCTTCTGATTCGCTTGGCACGTGTTTCTTAGTAGCGGTGTTCATAGTTAACCTCAACTCGACGCCACGCTACAATTGGTAATCCCGATTCGAATACAATTGGTGATCCCAAAGTTTAGAACACGCCTCAACTTCTGATAAAATCTTCCAAAGAAGCCAATTCGGTGAGTCTATGATTTAGCTATCCACGTCTGTCGTATATTTTCATATTTTTTAATATATAATATACGCGACATGACGGATAACGATAAGAATAGTATTAATATAATAGACTCACACGTATGTGTACCGAATCCTTGTCACTTTTTATTCGCGTGATGATGAATTCCACGCTTTATTCGAGAAATGTTACCCTATTAACTATTCTCCTCGCTGACCCGGCTGCTTGGTACGGAATGTACACGCATAAGCATATCCGTCTACCACCCAGCACCAAATGGTTAAGTTGAACGGTTTCACTGCCAACTTAAAAGTGTTCTACGAGCACACGAAAACGGCAACTGGCATGAAACCATACCGCTCGTTCTTTTAGGGGCGAGAACGAGCTTAAAGGCAGATATCCAATGTTCCGCCACTGAATTTGTATACGGCACGACATTGCGTCTGCCCGGAGAATTCTTCACACCACGGAGCAGACCTAATTTCGGTAAATCAGACTACGTCCATCGACTGTCTGCATTTATGCGAACGCTGTCTCCGGTGTCAACTCGAATACAACATCGACAGGTCGCTCTCCCTCGAGAGTTATCTACCTGTTGACATGTTTTTGTACAAGTAGATTCGGTACGCAAACCTTGGCAACAACCTTACGAAGGCCCTTTTCACGTGATCGCTCGTCACGAAAAGACCTTCAAGGTTGATCGATATGGACGCGTCGAGATCGTCAGCATTGATCGTCTCAAACCAGCACACATCGATGACAGTGCCCTATCTGACACCCTGAGATTCAATGCTAGACCTATCAAACCTAGCGGGATCCTTAAATCTTCTTCAGGTCCCACGCTAGATGTATCTGAGACCTCATTCTCACGTCCCGGTCAACAGCACGCGTCATCTGCACCGTCTACGGACGAGACGACAGTCTCACGTCCAGATCAGCAGACCACGCTGCCTCTGACCTCGGATGAGGTTGCAGGCTCACGAAATACGAACGAGACTGCCGTCTCACGTTCCGGTCGCCGAGTACGGTTACCCGTACGCCTCCGCGACTAGTCGCACAGTCAACAACCGATACGGTGTAGGATTATTCCTATACTACACGTATGCTACACTCTTCTTTTTTTGATTTTCTTTTTGTTTCCTGAGCCCACGCCTTCGACCATCTACGTTTGGTTCCGTCGACTTCAGTCAGCTTTGGCGAAAGCTGGCCTGATCACCCACGCTCTTGTCAACGTACTCAGTCGATATATTGGTTTCGAATGCTTGGCATATGCTTGGTCTCGAACTTGGTCGTTATGGTCGCTTCTGGTTCATCGGCTCAACGTGGTTTCGTCCTTCGTCTGCAGCGTTTATGGTCCGGACCCGTACGAACGCCCTCTTCAGATTCTGGATACAAACCAC